CTAAAACTTTTTTTTTTTTTAATGAGGCAAGGTCTTGCTCTATCACCCAAGCTGGAGTTCATTGGCCTTATAATAGCTCACTGCAGCCTCCAACTCCTGGACTTAAACAGTCCTTCTGCTTCAGCCTCCTAAGTAGGTGAGACTACAGGACACATACAACCAGGCCTGGCTAATTTTTCTATTTTTTTGTAGAGGTGGGGTCTCTCTCTTGCTCAGGATGGCCTTGAACTCCTGACCTCAAGCAATCCTCCTACCTTGGCCTCCCCAAGTGCTAGGCTTACTGGCATGAACCACTGCACCTAGCCCAAGTTCCCCAAAACTGTTTGAAAGATATGTACTCTGTATGGTCATTTATTCATTCAACATTGGGAAAATATTTTTTACTTTTTATTTTTATTTTTTTACAGCTAGGGTCTTGCATTATCTCCCAGGCTAGACTGCAATGGTACAATCATACCTCACTATAGCCTTGAACTCCTGGGCTCAATCTTCCTCGGACTCCCAAAGTGCTGGGATTACAGGCATGAGCAACTGTGCCCAGTCATGGAAAATATTTATTGAGCACTTTTTATGTGCCAGGCATTGTTTTAGGTATAGGGATTTTATGTTTACAAACATTTTGGGTTTTGTTTTTGCTTCTACAGAATATTGGATTTTAGATAAATAGGGCATTTTCTAGGCTTCTTTACATTGTTTAAATAAACAATTTAAATAATATTTGTATCATTTCCATTTGGTCAACTGATTGGCTTTTCCATAGTGGCTACACCAATTTACATTGTCTCAGATAGTGTATGAGGCTTCCCCTTTCTCCACATTCTTGCTAGCATGTTATTTCCTGTTTTGTTTTGTTTTTAATTTAAAATATTTTTCTTTTTCTTTTTTTGTAAATTTTTTATTATTTTTTTCTTGTGTCATAGATGGCATCTTTCCTGTGTTTTTTTTTTTTTTTTTTTTTGAGACAGAGTCTCGCTTTGTTATCCAGGCTAGAGTGACTGCCGTGGCGTCAGCCTAGCTCACAGCAACCTCAAACTCCTGGGCTCGAGAGATCCTTCTGCCTCAGCCTCCCGAGTAGCTGGGACTACAGGCATGCGCCACCATGCCCGGCTAATTTTTTTTTTATATACATATCAGTTGGCCAATTAATTTCTTTCTATTTATAGTAGAGACGGGGTCTCGCTCTTGCTCAGGCTGGTTTTGAACTCCTGACCTTGAGCAATCCGCCCGCCTCGGCCTCCCAGAGAGCTAGGATTACAGGCGTGAGCCACCGCGTCCGGCTTTCCTGTGTTTTTGATAAAAGCTATTTTAACTGGGGTGAGATGATGTCTTATTGTGGTTTTAATTTGCATTTATCTTATGATTAGTGATGTTGAGCCATCTTTTTAAAAAATATACAACCAGAATCTGAGTGGATTTATGTCTTCTTTTGAGAAATGTCTATCCATTGCTCCAATGTCTATCCATTGCTCATTTTTAAATTGGATTATTTGGGTTTTTTGCTATTCAGTTGTTTGAGCTTCCTATATAATCTGGTGATTAATCCCTTGCCATATGGCTAGTTTAAAAATATTTTCTCTCATTCTGTAGGTTGTCTATTCACTTTGGGGTTTTTTTGTTTGTTTTTGTTGTTGTTGTTTTGTGAATATGGCAGTGAAGTTCCTTTAATCAAAGACAACTATGATAAATTCATTAACTATCAAAAGCTACATTTTACTAAAAACATTCTGTCTTGAGTGGCGCCGGGGACTACCACGACAGCGGGAGCGGCCCCGGGCTTGTCGCTCACCATGCCGTCGGTAGAGGAGCTTTACTGCAACTACGGCATCCTAGCCGATGCCACGGAGCAAGTGGGCCAGCATAAAGATGCCTATCAAGTGATACTGGATGGTGTGAAGGGTGGTACTAAGGAAAAACAATTAGCGGCTCAGTTTATTCCGAAATTCTTTAAGCATTTTCCAGAATTGGCTGATTCTGCTATCAATGCACAGTTAGACCTCTGTGAGGATGAAGACGTCAAGCAATTCGATGTCAAGCAATTAAAGAGCTGCCTCAATTTGCCACTGGAGAAAATCTTCCCCGAGTGGCAGATATACTAACCCAACTTCTTTTTTTTTTTTTTTTTGCATTTTTCTGGAGTGGAGATTAACCCAACTTCTACAGACAGATGACTCTGCAGAATTTAACCTAGTGAACAATGCCCTGTTAAGTATATTTAAGATGGATGCAAAAGGGACGTTAGGTGGGTTGTTCAGCCAAATACTTCAAGGAGAGGACATCGTTAGAGAAAGAGCAATTAAATTCCTTTCTACAAAACTTAAAACTTTACCGGATGAAGTCTTAACAAAGGAAGTGGAGGAGCTTATACTAACAGAATCCAAAAAGGTCCTAGAAGATGTGACTGGTGAAGAATTTGTTCTGTTCATGAAGATACTGTCTGGGCTAAAAAGCTTACAGACAGTGAGTGGAAGACAGCAACTTGTAGAGTTGGTGGCTGAACAGGCTGATCTAGAGCAGACCTTCAATCCCTCAGATCCCGACTGTGTGGACAGGCTCTTACAGTGCACTCGGCAGGCAGTACCCCTCTTTTCTAAAAATGTCCATTCTACAAGGTTTGTGACTTATTTCTGTGAGCAGGTTCTCCCTAACCTCAGTACCTTAACTACCCCAGTGGAGGGTCTCGATATACAGTTGGAGGTATTGAAATTGTTGGCAGAGATGAGTTCATTTTGTGGTGACATGGAGAAGCTAGAAACAAATTTAAGGAAACTATTTGATAAGTTATTGGAATATATGCCCCTCCCTCCAGAAGAAGCAGAAAATGGTGAGAATGCTGGTAATGAAGAACCCAAGCTGCAGTTCAGTTATGTGGAATGTTTGTTGTACAGCTTTCACCAGTTGGGCCGAAAACTTCCAGATTTCTTAACAGCCAAACTGAATACAGAAAAGCTCAAAGATTTCAAAATCAGGCTGTAGTACTTTGCAAGTTTATATTAGACAACTTCGCTTGGCTCTCCAGGGTAAAACAGGTGAGGCCTTAAAAACAGAAGAGAACAAGATTAAAGTCGTTGCATTAAAAATAACAAATAATATCAATGTTTTAATCAAGGATCTCTTCCACATTCCTCCTTCTTATAAGAGCACAGTAACATTATCCTGGAAACCTGTACAGAAAGTTGAGATGGGGCAAAAGAGAGCCACTGAAGACACAACGTTGGGTTCACCTCCCAAGAAATCTCCAGCAGGACCAAAAAGGGATGCCAGGCAGATTTATAATCCTCCCAGTGGGAAGTATAGCAGCAATTTGAGCAACTTTAATTATGAGCAGAGAGGAGCCTTCAGGGGAAGTAGAGGTGGCCAAGGTTGGGGCGCACGAGGAAATCGTAGTCGGGGAAGACTCTACTGAATAAGACATCACATTCTTCAGCATTGTCATGAGCTTAATATACTTAAATACTACTACTCGATTGGATTGCCGGGGATGTCCCTTTAAACGGACTGCTGCCTTCAGCTAAAAACTTAATGTTCTTTATACCTTTGTATGTATGATCTACTTTTCTAACAGACCATGGTGTGTCCAAGGTAAACCACAGCCATATTTTTGGATGCTTGTTTTTGCAATATCATCATTATTCAGACTTCGTATTGTGAATCTTTACTTCTAAACATCTTGATTCATTATTGAAAGCTGTTCAAGTTTTAAATGTAATGAAATTCAGTCTAGTTCTGATAACTGATAAAGATCATCAGTTTTGAAAGGTTACTGATTTTCCTCTCCCGTCTCTTAGTTTTTGCCCAATATATGGAGAAGAGTAACAGTCAATCTTAACCTTTTGTTTTGTTTTTTAATAAAGCTGCTAGGCAATGGTGCAGCATTCCCACCTACCTAGTGTCATAAAAGCTAAAACTTACCAAATCTTTCTTAAAATGTAGAAGTGACATTACATTTTTAGGAGGAAGTAAGTTGCTTTGCACTGCTTACTTAACTCTTTTCCATATATTGTGATACAAACTTCTGAATATGGGATCTTACTATTTGAATAGAAATGTGTATGTATAATATACATACATACATAGGCATATATGTGTGTGTATGTGTATATATATGCATGCTGTGAAACTTGACTACACAACATAAATCATTTTTCAAAATTCCAGGAACAGGTAGTCTTTGACACGGTGATTATCCTTTTGAGGCTGAATCCATTATTGACTTGTTATCTAGGTTTTTATTCCCAGTAGTGAGGGATTTTGAGTCAGTTGCACTTACATGATTATTGTTATTTAAAAGGAAAAATAAACAAAGGCTGCATTTTTAAAGATAAATTTGGAAATTGCTATTGGTGAAATACAGCCAAAATATTGAATCTAGTGTACATATAGGTTTCTACAGGATGAGATAGTATAATTTAGAATTTGGAGATTTAATAACCAGGGCTGTCCAGGAAAAGTGACTTGATAACATGGTACCAGTAAGTAAGGGATGCTCCTCTTGGTTTGCTTTTGCCACTTTCAAGATTTTAACTTCTCAGGTTATTAATCAAAATTATTGTATGTTAGCCAATAGTATCTTTAGTTTAAAACAACAGACGGGGGGTTTGTGGAGTGTTTAATGTCGTGGGCATTTTTAGTAGCATAGACCCTTTGCTCTGCAGTTGAATGTTTCATATATTTTTGTTCCACAGTTAATCTTCCCTTCCCTAAGTCTGCTATTCAAAGCAAATGCCTGAATGACATTTCTAGTAGTTTAATGTATTTTTTGAGGAATAGTTTGTGATTCCAATGCAGGTGTCTTCATTACCGTTACCTCTACACTGGGGGAAAAGCAAAACCTCTTTGTTAATTACTTCATGTTTATGAGGAAAATATTTCTACAAGGCTAGAATGACACAGTGAGCAAAAAAAAAAAAAAACTCGGTCAGCTTGGCTAATGGAGTGGTGGCAATAACCTCTAACATTCCAAGACTATAAGCTGAACCTGTACTCCCTTGGAATCTGAACAGACATAGGAACACGGAATTGTCATTTGAAAACTGTGAGCAGCTAGTCTGGACCTCATAGATCCATCAGCCAGTGGCTAAAGCCATTTCAAGTACAGAAACTACATTGAGACTACAGCTATATAAATTTGAACAGTAAGTGTAATTTTTCCATTTTCTTTTTATATTTTTAAACTCAGAGCTAAGCAGAAGTGACTTTACTTTCTCTAGTTTGATACTAAGTTGTGTTCCTTCCCTCACCACCTCACTCTTCCCTTTCCTAAGGCAGTAGTTCAAAGTTAGGTTATTTTTGCTTACAAAATTTGAATGGAAACCTTTATGCCATAGATTTTTTTCTTTTGCAAGACACCTGTTTATCACTTTGTTTAAATGTAAATGTTTCCTTATGCTTTTGAAATAAATTTCCTTTTGTAATTTAAAATAATAATAATAATAATAATCTGTCTTTAAAAATGTTGAATCAGGCCCAGTGCAGTGGCTCACGCCTATAATCTTAGCACTCTGGGAGGCCGAGGCGGGTGGATTGCTCGAGGTCAGGAGTTCAAAACCAGCCTGAGCAAGAGCGAGACCCCATCTCTACTATAAATAGAAAGAAATTAATTGGCCAACTAATATATATAGAAAAAAAATTAGCCGGGTATGGTGGCGAGCTACTCGGGAGGCTGAGGCAGCAGGATTGCTTGAGCCCAGGAGTTTGAGGTTGCTGCGAGCTAGGCTGCTGCCACAGCACTCACTCTAGCCCGTGCAACAAAGCAAGACTCTGTCTCAAAAAAAAAAAAAAAAAATGTTGAATCATATAATATATACAGTACATGCTGCTTTCCTTTTGGGATTTCACTATTACTTGACTCCTTCAGCCACTTTGTTGATTGTTTCCTTGGCTATGCAGAATCTTTTTAGCTTGATATAATCTCATTAGTATATTTTTGTTGCCTAGGCTTTTGAGATCTTACACAAAAACATCTTTGCTCAGACCAATGTCCTGGAACATTTCCACAATGTTTTCTTCTAGTAAATTCATAGTTTCAGGTCTTAGATTTTAAGTCCTTAATCCATTTTGATTTTTCTATACAGTGAGAGATAGAAGTCTAATTTCGTTCTTATTCCCCTGTTGTATTTTCTTGGCACTTTTGTAAAAAAAAAAAAAATGAGTTCGTTGTAAATGTGTGGATTTATATCTGGATTCTGTATTCTGTTCTATTGGTTTATGTGTCTGCTTTTATGCTGGTACCATGCTGGTTTGGTTCCCATAGCTTTGCAGAATATTTTGAAGTCAGGTAATGTGATGCCTCCAGCTGTGTTCTTTTTGCTCAGAATTACTTTGGCTATTTGGGGGTCTTTTGTGGTTCTATATAACTTTTATGATTGTTCTATTTGTGTGAAGAATGTCATTGGTATTTTGACAGGAATTTCATTGCATCTGTAAATTGCTTTAGGTAGTGTTGTCATTTTAACAATGTTCATTCTTCCAATCCATGATCATGAAATATCTTTCCATTTTTTGTGTCTTCTTCAATTTCTTTCATCAGTGTTTTGTAGTTTTCCTTGTATAGATCTTTTACTACTTTGGTTAACTTGATTCTTAGGGATTTTATATTCTTTGTGACTATTATAAATGGATTGGTTTCTTTTTCTGATTATTCACTGTTAGCATATATATTATAAATGCTACTGATTTTTGTATGTTAATTTTTTATACTACAGCTTTACTGAATTTGTTTATCAGTTCTGACAGTTTTTTGATGGAGTCTTCAGGATTTTCTCAATAGAAGATCATATCATCGACAAACAAGGCTAATTTGATTTCTTCCTCTACAGTTTGGATGTCCTTTATTTCCTTCTCTTGCCTAATTGCTCCATCCAGGATTATGTTGAATAAAAGTGATGAAAGTGGGCATCCTTTTCTTATTCCAGATCTTAGAGAAAAGGGTATCAATTTTTCCCTGTTCTGTGTGATGTTAGCTGTGGGTTTGTCATAACGGCCTTTATTATTTTGAGATATGTTCCTTCTATATCCAGTTTGTTGAGGGATTTTATCATAAAGAGATGTTGAATTTTATCAAATCGTTTTCTAGCATCTGTGAAATGATTGTATGTTTTTTGATCTTGATTCTGTTAATATGATATATCACATTTATTGATTTGCCTGTGTTGAACCATCTTTGCATCCCTGGGATGATCATACTTTATCATGGTGAATGATCTTTTTCTTGTGTTGTTGAATTCAGTTTGCTAGTACCATGTTTCCCCGAAAATAAGACCTACCCATAAAATAAGCCCTAGCAGGATTTCTAAGCATTTGCACAATATAAGCCCTATCCCAAGATAAAACCTAGTGATGGGCATGGCTACACAGCATATCTGCACAACCCATGCATTTCGTCATGGAGCAGTAAAGAAGACAAGCAGCCCTTCTCATCTGCCCCATGAGAGCTCTATTGCTCGACATGAGAGATTGAGGCCGATGGTTCTAAAGGAAATAGAGTCACAAGAAATTCAGGATGGAATTTGGGGTTTGGAGAGTTATGATGATGTTCCAGAAGATGACTTAACTATATTTGAATAAATGTAGATTGTTGTACCATACTTAAAAAAATAACACATCCCCTGAAAATAAGCCCTATGATGTCTTCTTAAGGAAAAATAAATATAAGACCCTGTCTTATTTTTGGGGAAATACGGTATTTTGTTGGGGATTTTTGCATCTATGTTCATCAGTCATATTGGCCTGTAGTTTTCTCTTTTTTTGTCATTATCTGGTTTTGGCATCAGGGTAATGCTGGCCTCATAAATACATTTGGAAGTATTCCCTACTCTTCAATTTTTTTTGAAGAGTTTGAGTAGAATTGGTATTAGTTCTTCTTTAAATGTTTGGTAGAATTTAGCAGTGAAGTCATTAGGTCCTGGGCTTTTATTTGATGGGAGACTTTTTATTATGGCTTTAGTTTCATTAATCATTATTGGTTTGTTGCAGTTTTATATTTATTCATGTTTCAATCTGAGTAGGTTGTATGTGTCCAGGAATTTATCCATTTCCTCTAGGTTTCCAATTTGTTGGCATATTGTTATCCATAATAGTCAGTAATGATTCTTTGTGTTTCTGTGGTGTCAGTTGTTATGTCTCCTTCTTCATTCTGATTTTATTTATTTGGGTCTTCTCTCTTTGTTTCTCAGTAGTGTAGCTAAACATTTGTAAATTATGTTTATCTTTTCAAAAAAATCTACTTTTTATTTTGTTGATATTCTGGGTTTTTTTTCTGTCTCAATTTCATTTATTTCTTCTCTGATCTTTATAATTTCTTTCCTTCTACTAATTTTGGGTTTTCGAGGTACATCATTAGGCTATTTATTTGAGGTCTTTCTATTTTTTTAATGTCTTTTTTTTTTTTTTTTTACAGAGTCTCGCTTTGTTGCCCAGGCTAGAGGGAGTGCCATGGCGTCAGCCTAGCTCACAGCAACCTTGAACTCTTGCACTGAAGCAGTCCTCCTGCCCCAGTCTCTAGGTAGGACTAGGGTACATCCCTGTAGCTAGGACTACAGGCATGTGCATTCATGCCTGGCTAATTTTTCTGGTTTTTGTAGAGATGAGGTTTCACTATGTTGCCCAGGATGGTCCTGAACTCCCGACCTCAAGTGATCCTCCCAGCTTGTTCTCCCTAATTGCTGGGATTACAGGCATGAGCCACTGTGTCTAGCTTAGATTTACTTCTCATTTTCTTCATGGACCCATTGGTCATTCAGTAGAGTATTGTTTAATTTCTATGTGTTTGTGTAGTTTCCAAAGTTCTTCTTATTATTGGTTTCTAGTTTTATTTCATTGTGGTCAGAAAAGATACTTCATAAGATTTCTACTTTTGTGAATTTGTCGCCTTAGATATGGTCTGTGCTGGAGAATATTCCATGTACCGATGAAAATAATGTGTATTCTGCAGCAGTTGGGTGAAATGTTCTGTAAATGTCAGTTAGGCCTATTTAGTCTAGTGTGTAGTTTAACTCCAATGTTTCTTTGTTGATTTTTTTTTCTTTTCTTTTTTTCTTTTTTGAGTCACAGTCTTGCTCTGTTGCCTGGGCTAGAGTGCCGTGGCGTCAGCCTAGCTCACAGCAACGTCAAACTCCTGGGTTGAAGCAACCCTCCTGCCTCAGCCTCCTGAGTAGCTGAAACTACAGGTCCTTGCCATCACGCCTGGCTAATTTTTCTATTTTTAGTAGAGATGGGGTCTTGCTCTTGCTCAGGTTGGTCTCAAACTCCTGGGCTCAAGTTATCCACCTACCTCAGGTTCCCAAAGTGCTAGGATTACAGTATAAGATAAAGATGTCATTTGTGACAATAATAACATAAAGTGGTGAGAAAGAACTGTGTAGGAGTAAAGTTTTGTGTACTAATTGCAAGAGAGTGAATGTGTCCACTCAATTCATATGTTGAAATCTAATCCACAATTTGATGGTATTTAGTGGTAGGTAAGTTAGGATATAATTGGTCATGAAGGTGGAAGTGCCATGCATTGGATTGCTGTCCTCATAAAAGCTAGCTTGCTCTCTTTCCAACATGTAAAGATATAAGAAGTCAGCAGTCTGCAACCTGGAAGAGGGCCCTCTCCAGAACCTGACCATATCTCATTCTAATCTAAGATTTCCAGTTTCTAGAACTATGAAAAATAAATGTCTGTGGTTTATAAGCTATCTAATCGATGGTACTTTGTTATAGCAGCCCTAACTGACTCAGTATACAAATTAAGTTGGTATTAATTCAAACAAGATTGTTATAAATTAAAATATTAACTGTAATTCCCATGATAACCACTAATTAAAAATATGCAGTAAAAGAAATAAGAGGGGAATGAAAACAATACACTAGAAAAAAGTCAATTAGACACGAAAAAGGCAGTAATGGAAGAATTGAGGAGGAACAAGAAAGGTAAAAGGCTTATAGAAAACAAATAGCAAAATAGTAGAAGTAAGTTCTTTCTTAAGAGCAATTACATTAAATGCTAATGAATTAAATGCTCTAATCAAAAAGCAGATATTGGCAAAACGGATTTAAAAAACAGGACCCAATTATATATTGTTTACAAGAGATTCAATTTAGATCCAAAGACACAAATAGGTTGCATATGAAATAATGGAAAGATGTTCCA